TACCTTAATATAAAGTGTTACCGTAAATTGATTTATTTACATTAAATCAATACACCCTAGCGTTTTAGTGTTCTGCAGGGAAGCCAAAAGGTAAAGACAAACATTTCATGTGACCACAGCTAAGTTGCTCTGCTCTACGGACTCTATTTTAAACATTTATAAGAATAGAGTACGATGAGAGTATGATGAAAACATATCTGTTATTAACAATAATGTTTCACTTTCTTCACCATACATATTTTTTTGTTATATTAGATGGAATTAGTACTGTCACGTTAGGGTGTAGGAGTAGGGTGGACCAAAGTGCAGGACAAAGAAATAAATGTAAAGAACATACCTTAAAATACTTTAATAGTTTGTTTTCCAGACAAAACACAGCAGGGCACTGCAAACAAAACAATCCAATGAACGATAAACAAGAATCTGACAAACACCAACAGAAAACAAGAACTTAAATACATGCAGAATTAATCAAAAAGGACAAGACACAGCTGGGGACAACAGGAGGGAAAACACAGAGACAGGAAGTACGACAGAGACATAATACGGGGGAACACATTTTAAAATAAAACAGGAAACACAGACAGATTGTGACAACTATAGTATTAAAATACTTAGTTACAATTAAAAGTCCTGCTTTTGTGTTTGAGAATAAATCAGTTCTCATGATTAATTTGAATGTTTCCATTATTTGCCTAATTTGGAGGTTTTTGTATACAGATGGGTTATCAGTGTCTTAAATCTCCAACAGTGTCAAGGATAGCACATCTCTTCAAACACAATTTATGTAGTTATGGTCGAGGTTTAGAGATCCAAGAAAGTACACCGACCACAGATTTATACTATTTGTATGTGACTAAATGCATCCTTTAACCACATCCTTGTGCAATATTGTTTTGTGGTTACATCCTCACATAGGAATAGTGTTACCCTCTCACCCCATTCTGATTTTCTTTGCCAGTCAGCACCATGTTGTTTCCCTCAGTGTGGCAGCTACTTTTAGTTTTAGATCTTGAAGATGGACAGGGTGAATACAAAACTGAGATAAATATAAAGGATCATAATTTCACACGTTCTGCACACACACTACACATATACAACAATTGCTTTAAATCCTTGAGCTGAGGGAAGCAGTATAGCCTAATAACTTAAAGGAGGGTTTTCATTCTGTGATTTCACACATATGAGATGTTCTGTAGGCTTTAGTGTGTACTAATTTAATGTAACTTCCTTTGTATTTTCCTCTTTGCTGCTTCTATCACTGCTTTTTATTTCTGTTTAAGAATCTTAAATCGGCCATATTATACTAATTTCAGGTTCATATTTGTATTTAGTTGTGGTCTGTTGTGATTGGCCAACCGCCTACATTACATCTCACTTGAGAGAAACTCCCTCTGGAGGGAACACAGGGATTTTAGCCTTTGTAGACCATTCACATGCACAGAAACTGTATAACACACTACAGGAAAGGGGAAACTCAAAATAGCAGAGTAAAGCCCTTTAATATCTCCTATTCAGCCAAACCTCTCAAAGTGAAATGGCACCCAAAAGAAGTACTTTGTTGAGTAAAAGGTCTTCAGCTGTATAAGAGTACATCCCCAGACCTGCCACCTGGAGAATTGTACTGAATTATCTGTTGTTTATTGTGCTTCATTTCATTCAGATGGAGTATTATTTTTAAACCAAACAGTTTTTTGTAAGAACAGCGAAAGCTATAAAAATAGTATAATTAAAACACAAGAAGTCAGAAGCTACTGCACTGTGTGAGAGGCACAAACCGGCTTGGCAGAGTCACCTAAACCTCATAGGAAAGATTATGGCGTTTACAAAGAGGGAAAGGAGAAGAAACCACAGATGTCGTCAAAAAAAAGAGGGTTTATCCTTGAGGTTACCGCTTCTACGTAAATGATGGTGGGCAGCAGGCGAAAGGAACACTGAGCCTCTGATCTGAACACAGGAATCCATAAAGATTGCACACTCATGTATGAGGACGCACACTGTGTGTTCTCCAATGATACATGTGCACAAACATGCAACATTAAGATGACAGACACTGATTTCTTTCATCAGCATGGACGTTAGCTCTCCCTCTAAATAAGCGGTGCGGCTGTGGAGACTTGTTTTGTCAGAGTAAACAGCCTAAATAAAACCCTTTTCCTCTGGTTGGATGAGTCCTTCCCTGCGTGTCTCTGAGGGGAGGCTTTCATCAGAGCTGCACCACCCACATGCAGCTTACCGACCCCTCGACCTCACACTAACAATCTCTGCAGGCTGTTAGGAGTGTGTGTGTGTGTATGCATGCATGTGTTGATGTGTGCATGTGGTTTGGGGGGGGGGGGGGGTTCTGATGGATTTCCCGCTCTGCAGACCCTGTTTCCACTTTCTCTTGGAAACTCCTTCCAGACCTCGACCGAGTTTTTGAGACAGTTTTTTATGTTGATGACTTTGTGTGAAGAATTACTGCAACTTTTTCAATCCTACAGTAGCAGTTTTGGTCTTTTATGGGGTTTTTTCGGGAAGTGTGGACAGGTCCACAGCTGATATGCATTTCTGACTCAAACTATTTTAAGGAATATTTGGCGATTATAGGATATGTGTCTTTCCGCTTTCTTGTTTTGTCTCATGCTACTTCCTATGTATATACTTTACTTATTCCTTATTCATTTCATTTGTAACATTAAGTAATTCGCACTATTTTATATCTCTCTTTTTTATAGTTTTTTTTAAGTATATTGTATGTTGTACTGTTTGAAGAGGCTGGGATTTAAGATTTTAATTCTTAACAACTACGCTGTAGATATTGTGACAAATAAGCCTCTTAATCTTAAAAATGTCTTTCTCACTTCCCAGAGATCCAAACTGTATCCATTCCCCCAGAGTGTCGTCGCATATATTACGTTTATAATGCTGAAAATGCAAGGGCTTCCATCAGTGGGTCCTAGGCGATAGACAGAGCCTTAATCAGAATCAGAATCAGAATCAGAATCAGAATCAGAATCAGAATCCCTTTATTAGTCCCACAGAGGGGAAATTTGTATCGTTACAGCAGGAAAGAGCCACAGACAGCTTAATGTTACATATGTTAAAAAAAAGTACTAAGTTATGATATAATAAAAATATAATAAAAAAGAAAAAGTTTTCAAAATACAAATCCTGTAACAGTAGATACAAGATATCGATCTAAAATAAAATATCTGTGTTGAGATGCGTCTTTGACAGTTTCTAGCACTCTAAAACCAGAGAGCCGGGAAAAATATTCTCTCCTACCGAATGTCCTGTTAAGCTCTGTTGGTTTGAAAGGAATTCCCAGCACAAGTATGGTAGCGAGTACAAAAGACTAAAGAATCATGGGGCTGTTGTATGAACAGACACAGAGACAGGTGGAGAGATGAGAGGTCAGCCATCGTGTGGTGCTGAGGCCATGAATGGAAGGTGTTGATGCTAATAAATCCAGATTAACCCTGCAGAGCGATCCCACTTTTACACTGATGGTATGCCAGACAAATTGTTGCTATGACTGGTCAGCAGCCAGAGAGATTGTAGACATGCTGAGATGTTCTTCTGTGAAAACCTTGGCCTGATGAGGTGAGACAGGCAACCAGGGAAAGCTCTGCAGACACAATGGAGCCGAGCCAAGGTGGAGTAGTGTGAACCGCTGACAGTCAAACACAAGAGAAAAGGTTTGTAGGACACCCGGATGCTCTGTTTGGTTAGCTAGCGGTTGAGGGATCCAGGCCAAACTTTCCGTTTGTGGACTGCAGGGAGATAAGCAGTAGTTTGAGCAGCATTTAAAGGGCGTCATTTGCAGGAAAATCTAATGAAAGTGGGACAGACTTTTACTGCGGGTGGATCACACCTTCCAGTGAAAACAAAACTCTCCGGTGATTCATTTTCTGTCTGATCTAAATAGATGTATCTCCTGTGTTTAAAGTTGGAAATAAAGAGTTTTTCCATGATACTATTTATAGTTCCTTAAATCTTTTTATCTGTAAAAAAAAATGTGCGACTTGCTCACAGTTTATTTACCTTGTGTTTAGAGTTCATGAAAGAATTACAAATCACCTTGGAGAAAACATGGATTATTTTAGTCCTAGCACATGGGGTAAGGGTGCATCTGCCTCTGGTGTCTGAAATGATGATAAACATAACACAAAACCATCCCTTTATATACATTGCTAACTATTCATAAACCCAGAAGAAATGTGTCCTGTCAGTGTGTTTCTATATCTCAACCGGGCACTAGATGTCCTCCTTGGTACAATTTATTCTGGATAGTAGTTTTTCTTGTGATATAACTAGTTCTGAGATATTCTATTCACAAATGTATCAACCTTTTAGGACTGTGCAGACTGTGCTTCACTGCCATCTCCCAGAAAGTAAAGGGATTTGCTTTTCTCACTGCATGTTTAATAAGAGCAAAGCAATGCAATAAGGTCTCTGAGTTATTTAAAAGAAAAAGCAAGGGGACATTACTCATAACATGGAAATAAACATGACAGCTTATTATTAAATTCACTCACAAAAAAAGAACTAATGCTTGTTTCCCTCGTGTCTTGTCCTGTCACATTAATGCATTCGTAATTATAATTCAATAACATATTAAATATATTATTTTGAGATGTTTAAGCATATTCAAATAATAATACTTTTGCACTTTCACCTAAGTAAGATTTGGATAGCAGGACTTTTAATTGTAACAAAGTATTTCTACACCTATGGTAATACTACTTTTACTTAAGTAGATCCCACTGCAGTCAGCATGTCGTTGTGTCCCTGGGCGAGACACTTCACCCCAAACTGCTCCTGTGGGGACTGTCCACAGAAAGGAGTGTATGTAAGTCGCTTTGGATAAAAGCATCTAACAAGTGACATGTAATGTTGAATACAAATACTGGCACACACTTACACAAGGAAACAAACATATTTACACACTTATTTTTACACTCAACCCATCTACCTGTCAATCTGTCGTTCCCTGACAAGCAACACCTATGAACCGATCACTCTATCACTGAACCGTGAGACTGGGCTTCTCCCTTGGACTTGAAGAAGGGCAGTTTCTCCAGGTAGGTCAGGGCCTTGCAGGTCACCACACCTTTGTATGTCTGCAACAGAGAGCATACCCCCCCCTTCAGTCCCAGATCTGCCCAAACTGTATCCAGCACATGGCCTTCCATTCCTGCAGAGCTGAACAGGTAGTGGTAGCAGCAGGCGTTGTAGTGGATGTGTTTCTCCCCTGAGAACCTGGCACTGTGTGTCGGTGTCACCCCGGCCTTCTGAGCACAAACACCCACAAAAACATCCGCCGGCACCGGAGCACGGACTGCAGCTGATGCTATGTACACTTTCCGGACCACATCCTGGGACAGGACATAAGCCGCCCCGTCACAATACTCGGGCAGGTACTTGTTAGGGTAAAGAGCTGGAGGTAGGTAGCCAGGACTGTTAGGGTTCCTATCAGGGGAGTCTCTCTGGATCACCCGTCCTAAGTAAAGGTCCTCAGGGTGCCTGTGCAGCCCGAGTAAGTAGCCTCCAATGCCAGGGATGTTTACAAACACAGAGTCCTTTGTCAGCAGGACAAAACGTGCAACAGGACAGAAGGCGATCACCCAGCGGAGGGCCAGGATTGTCCTCTCTGTTGGGCCCCGGAGGGACGAATCAGCCACTGCATGACCGTGCACCAGATCCCCATGGAGCTCAGACTCTATCATAAGAGCCTCCTGTGCAGAGAAAGTCTCAGTTGATCCTAAGAAGAAGAGTGTCCTCACTGGGAAGCCTTGAGTGAGCGTTTGGTTTCCCCACGTCCTCCTGACTGCATCCCTCTGGGTGACATTAGCGGGGGAGCTGAAGACGAGGGTGAGAAGGAAGAGGTCCGAGTTTCTGCAGGCGTCTGGGTTAGCGATAGGGTAGGCCTGGGACACGTTCTCCCTGGCTTTACTCAGGTCTAATTTCCTTGCTTTCTCTCTCACGTCAACAACCAGGCCATCAGTGTAAACCCCTGGCGTGGGCTGCAGGAGGTACTCCTCCACAAAGTCCGCCCCAAACAACAGGGCATGGAAGAGGAGGACGTTGAAGAGGAGGAAACACCACTGGTGGGTTCGCAGCCTGCACAGAGAGCACTGCAGCAGAAAAACACAGAGTATGAATCACCAATCAAACAGACATTATGATGAATAGGATGCAGATAATAACACTGTACCTGCATGACACCTGCCTTGTTGTTCCTCTGTGTGTATCAGCTGTCAGTGGACTCCCACTGCAGTCAGTTCAACAACAATACTGCTGACAGACAGAGTTTCCACTTTCATGAAACTCTAGCAGCATGTAACCCTGCCCCCTGAGTCACATGCTTCATCAAGAGGAGTGTGTCCTGCATCATGCATGAAGCTTTAATGATACCCAGAATGAGTTTGATCCACAAGGATGTTACATATTCAAACCAGACATGTTTTAAGCACATTTAGATCAAAAATGCCTTAAAAAAAATCCAAATTGATGGAATTTATCGATTGAATTAGTTGAATTACGCTCCAGTATCTCACAGTCAAGTTAAACTTAAATTAAAGCTCAAGTTTGAGTAAAAACATTTTTAAATCCTAAAAATAAAGTCTTAATCTTGTGTTCATATTAACTTCTTACAGGTACAACCAATTGGATAGTAATATTTAAGTAATGCTGCATTCGGTAAGACATTTCTTGACAGGTAATAATTAGGGCTGTCAAGTTAACGCGTTAATAACGCGTTAACGCAAAAAAAAATTAACGCCACTAATTATTTTAACGCGATTAACGCATGTGTATTTTTTGTCCTCGGCCGCCGTAGTTTCAGAGCGCATCGAGTGTAAAATACCATCGACAAGCTGATGCTGACAGCCCCGCTCCTGCCGCCCGCTTGTGGCAGACCACACTTCCACGCTCACTGGCAGGCCCGGACTGGCCATCGGGAGGACCGGGAGGGAGTGTGTATGTGTGGCGCGACTCGCGCGAGCGAGGCACACCTTACGTGTTGTTGTTGTTAGCATCTGGTGCTAGCTAGCTGCGCTAACGGATATAAGGAGCTGTTTCAATGACATTTCGCCGACAACTGCGCCGAGCACTTGACTTTATGCAGGTAGCCAGACAGTGGGACATTGTACGAAAAGTCAGCACACTCAGCACGGATAGTACGCGCAACATTATTGCAGCGTCCAGGCAGCTCCCATTCGAGCATATATGCCTTGAGCTGCACATAGCTCAACGATCCATCACAGTGTCTCCACACACACACACACACACACACACACACACACACACACACACACACACACACACACACACACACACACACACACACACACACACACACTGTATTATTGTATGAGAGAGCTTCCAGGTTGAATTGAGGCGAATATTTGTAATGTTCAGAGGTTGTTGTGTTTAATATTCATGAGAATATTTGTCATTGTTCAAATGATAATAAACAAACATATAAAGCATATTTGTCCACTCATATGTTGATAAGAGTATTAAAAACTTGAAAGATATCCCTCTAAGGTACATTTAGAACAGATAAAAAATGTGCGATTAATTTGCGATTAATCACGATTAACTATGGACAATCATGCGATTAATCGCGATTAAATATTTTAATCGACTGACAGCCCTAGTAATAATGCATGGCCAATGTGTTTTTATTCCTACTAAAGTAGATGCATGCTTGCAAAAGGAAACCAGACACATCTGGGAGCAATGCAGAGCCCAAATTGTGAAAATTGTATAGATTTCTCACCCTTTAAGGTCAACTATTACGCAAAATGCACTTTTTTATGTCTTTTATACATAAATATGTGACTCACAAAGTGTCAGAAAATACAACCCTCTCTCTTTTCCTCCGTACCCACATCTCTAAAAATTGAGGTACAACGGAGCTGATCCATATTTGCTGCGGTCATGACGTCATTACTAAAATGTGGGCTGGCTTTACGTTGAACTCTTGGCAACGTCCCGCCCACGTCCCAACCTATCGTCCCCATATACAGTTGCTAGCTGAATCCCCTCCCTCAGCTGTGTGTCTGTGTATTCAGCAGGATGTCTACGGGAGGGACTTAGAGTAAAGTTGTTATATATATACAACCCAGTCTCACGGCATTTCGTGTAATGGCCCGGACACACCAATCTGACAACAAAGAACTGACACAGACGGACCCCGACTGTTGCATCGCGTCTCTGCGTTTTGGCAGTGTGTCGCACTGGAACACACCCACACTCAGCCACACTCAGCCGACGGCCAAGAAGCACGTACGAACTGCGCATGCGTAAGTGGCAATAACTCTCCTTACCAGCAGGCGGCTGAGACTCCACAGATTATATAGGTATAGTATCATCACTGAGCGATCCGAACTCGCGACAGGGGAAGCAAACACAGACATCACAACACGTACCTTTACGGAGCTTTTACGGCAGATCATCTCACCGTAGCTGTCAATCTGATCAAAAGACGTGTTCAATGGCATTAAAGCGAGAAAAACGCGGCTGAATCGGTTGATCCATAGGTTAATAATGTATCTGTGCATTTGAAAAAATTATTTATAATCCATAATTCCATTTTTATGTAAAAATCGGAGCAAAAAAGTTAGCTGCTAATGGTAGCCAACAGAGTGTGCGCAGCTTCCGGTTTTGGCCACGCGTCACTCTCACTCCTTATTTGTTAATGTGTTGGTGTGTGTAGAACTTCCCCTCGATTCCATTGGCTCGAGCGGTTATAAAGAGATTTCATTCATCAAAATCAACCAAGGGGGGCCAGAGATATGGAAAATCCGCCCAAATGACCCCAGAAGTGGGTTTCTTTTGCTAAATCTCTCTAAAAAGGTCAAATATCACTTGTTTTGCATCAATCTTGATACAGGGTACTTATTATATGTTGTACTTTGGATTCCTAAAGCTTTTAGTCTACTAATCCATCATCCAAGGGTAGTTTTCACTATAAGTAAAAAAGAATTTTTGGACGGACACTATAATTTACAGTTTTTTACTATGTTCAATCTGAATTTTCTTTAAAATAAAAAACATCTATATTGATTCTGACTTTTCTACATCCAACTCACAGGTTAATCATTACTTTGAGAACAAAGATTATTAATTTAACCCTTTTAGAAGGGAAGATATGGTCATTTGTTCTGGGAATGTCATTTTCGAGCCTGAGACCTGAAAAACAGGCTCAGGGCTTAAGAGGTTAATCTATTGATTCGTGTTCACCAACACGATTTTCCCCTTTTTTTCGTGTCACACAGAACGATTTTAAAAGCAATGTATTTCTATTGGTAGTGCCTGCACCACGTCTTTTTGTCCGGTCGGGTCTTGGAAGACCGGAAGCTGTGTGGTTCATAAAAACATTTTCTTACTTAATATCAAGCCACGATTATTGTTATATTTTAAATCGCATAATGTCGGACTTTTGTTGCCGTCTGTGAGGAAAATAAATGGGGCTCAGAGCCTCAGAAATAAATATTTTTTTCCTTTTTCTAAATAACACACTGTTATTTACTCAACAATAACACACAATTATCCTTGTTTTTATTTATTTGTTGACTGAATTTCAAAATAAAGTCACCGGAAACAGACGTAGGCGATACACACCCGCTGAACTGATTACCCAAGATCCTCAGCTATGGTTGAAGCTCGGTGATTGGATGTTTTAGCCGCAATGCACGTTGGGACCAATCAACTATGTGCAATATGTGCTATATGTGCAATATATATATGCCGTTAATAACTGTTTTATTTATACCTGGCTGCTAAATCCTTAGAACCGTTACAAGGTGTGTTTGTGTTTGTTGCATTTTGTATTTTGTAAATTGTGTAACTTGCTGCTGTTAAATACCATCAAACTATGAGCAATATGTGCTATATGTGCAATATATACATAATATACACATGCCATTAATAACTGTGTAATATATACCTGGCTGCTAAATCCTAAGAACTGTTACAGGATTTGTAATTTGAAAAGTATTTTTTTCTTTAGTTTTATTTTTTTTATTATATTTTTATTATATCATAACTTAGTACATTTTTTTTAACATATGTAACATTAAGCTGTCTGTGGCTCTTTCCTGCTGTAACAATGCAAATTTCCCCTCTGTGGGAATAATAAAGGTATTCTGATTCTGATTCTGATATGGTGTTCCGAAAACATTTAAAAAAAAAAGAAAATAATACTTTATTCCGAGTGTGCTTGCTTTTCTCTTTGAAAGACATCACATAACGGCATTGTAATACACGGTTCGGCTGCATTAAATATTGCACATCTGCCGTAGTTCTCTATTTATAGAGCCCTGATTAGAAGACTTCTAGACAAACTGGAAGAATTGCCGCCGAAACTGAAAACGTGACGTGGATCATAAATATATCAGCAATTACCAAACCAAAGACAGAAAAAGACAAGACAAAACACAACACAGACAGATCGTGACAGAAATGCCGTGAGACTGGGTATATATGGATATATAATACATATAATGGCTCATATAATGGCTCTGTTATAGCGGTAAACACTGAATAAAGAACATGTCAAGCTATGTGCTGTATCAGAAACAATGTGCGACGTGTTTTGAAGTAATAATATGGTCTGTGTTTACATTAGCAAGCATCGCTAACACTCAGAGCCAGACCCGGCGCCAGAACAAATCGAATTGCATTGCATTTTTGTCGAAGGAACCGGAAGAAGTTTACTTCCGGGTTTTAGGACGCGTCACTGCGGTTCTCTATAGATCCAATCAAACAGCATGGCCAACAGCATTGCGTAAAGACGCACACCTATCGCAAATAAATACACAGATAAATACACAAATAAAGTAAAATAAAATATTCTCCCGCCCGGTGGGATCCCTGGTTCTGTCGACTTTAATAGAATACACCGCATCCCCTATCTCTTCGACAATATGCTCAGTCACTAAGGTGCTCATTAGTTCGATTATTGCATTTTGCATGTCGTGAGAGGTGTATGTCGCTGTGCTGGAAATGGTTTCCATTATTTTGGCCAACTCTGCGTCTTTGTGCAACGTATACTAAAACAGCGATCGGAAGAGCCCACTGCCTGACTCGGACATGCTGTGGAGTGAATCGTGGTCACCTCTGAGAGGGAGTTGGTTGACAGCTAAAAAAGCTATCATATCAACGACAGCTGACACGTAATAATGGTTTCGTGCCAGCTGATCTGTGTGCACC